TTTTTGATTAATTTTATTATTATTAATATTAAGTTAAAAAGAAGTGATCAAAAGTATGCGGTGATATTTAGGAAGTCTAAAATTTGGGATATTTTATTTACAAGTCGTATTTCCAAGAAAGGTATAGAAAGGATATATAGGACTATAACTAAAAAAAAACTTTAAAGGTTTCTTGATAAAAATACATGAAAATTCCTTTAATATTAATCATTATAATACCCTTTGACTTTCCTTATATATATTTATTTGTTTTCTGACTAATTTTTGTAATTTAGCGGACATTTTTCCTACCCTAAAGTAGCTAAACTGTCAACTTTTGTATCAAAAACAATATGAAATGTAAAAGGCATTTCGTCGATTTAACCCAATGTCGATTTGCTGCTAAATTATTGCTGCTCGTTGTCGTTGTCGCTGCGACTTTTGCTGTGACTTCTCTAACCCGTAAAACTATTATTATGATCATTATAACTGGCGACCCTGCCACTACTGGCACCGCCCAGTCCAGGCTTTGACTTCGATCTGAATCCGTATCCGCACGCACTTTGACACACACCCACCCGCTCCCTATTGGCCGCCTCATAAATGTTTTGGCAATAAAAGCCCAAGTTATGATAATGCCAATTCATGTTTAGTGTGCGGAGATATATCTAAATATTTATACCAGAGTGTGTTTGCATGTTTCTCCAATGACGTGCGGAAAGCGTCAACGGGGGGAAGAGTGATGGATGTGTCGGTGCTGTCAGCAGGTGGAACATTTACAAGCTTCACAGAGATAAATCTCATATCATCCTGGCACTTGTTGTTTTTTGTAGATAATTTTATTTGGAAAGTTTAGAAATGGAAAGTTTTTAAGGGTCACTTAACGTGCTGAAAAACATCTGAAAAAGTTAATATTTAATCAAACTTTAAGCTACAACACAATGTCCTTGCTCCTTGCCCATTATGATTAAAATATTAGCTTGCTAATATTTGTTTTCCAACTTTATTTACCACTTTTAGCTGGCGCAGAAGTTTTAGTGTTTGAGATGTGGGGAGGTTGGCTGTGTCTCTCTGGAAAGGGGGGGGGGATTATTGTTGTTGTCAACATCGACATAACCCTTTTGTTGAACAGTTGGCGGAACGACACAACTCGTCGTGGTGGTGGTGGTGACATTGGTGACACCGGCGACAGCGGCGGCGGCAATTAATAATACGTAATTTATGATCCGCATTCAATTCTATTTGACTTTTGCGGCCCAACAAAAAAATAAAAAAGGGTTAAGAGAACCGCACTTAAACGCCTTTTCTAGTGAAGCGTTACAATTTACAGCCGTTTGCCAGTCAGCCGGAACGACAGCCCACTCTTCACAAATTCTTTTTGAATATATACATATATACATATAGTATCTATATATATACCGATTTTGGTTGTACAAAAAAATTCGACAGTGTTGTTATCCTTATCCTCAAGGATAATCCGGCATTCGTGCCAAATTCTATTAGCCAAGTTACAGGCACTGCTTAACGCTTGGCTAATCGCCGCTTTGGCTTAATCCCCAAAAACCTGCAGGCAAAAGTTTTTTATTAAATTAAAATTGATACACCTACCGATAAACCTACAGGAACTGTAGCAAAAAAGGCTAATGCAATTAGGATTAAGGAAGGGATTTTAATTGGCGTAAGTTGATTTTATCAGAAATTTTGTAATTCTATAGGTAATAGATTTGCTTAGTTAAAATTTAAAAACTTCATAACTCGGCCAAAAATGCATTTATTTTAATTCGGAAAGTTTTCCTGTGTTAGTTTTTATTAGGTTAATAAATCTGCATACTTTATTTGGAATTTATAAAAATTAAAATTTTTGTTGATTTTTTTTTTGCAAAATTTAAGATACAACCCTTATAAAATTTAGAAAAAAAAATAAATTTTTTTTTTCTGGCTAAGATGGCTAAATCGATTTGGCTTTCAATGCTGATCAAGAATATATATGATTTATAGGTTCGGAAATGTTTCCTTCTCTCTTTATAAGGTTTTTACTGAAATAAAGGGATGTATTACAAATATGAATTATAGATTTATACTGTTTTTATACTATTTATTTATGTATTATTTTACCTACAAAATGAATACTCTTTTCTGTAGTTTATATAGTCTTGATCTAAACAATGATCATCTCATGAAGAATATTAAAAAGTATGAACGTTCGGTAAATACCTACAAAAAACAAATACTATTAATTTACTACTATATAATTATACTATACTATAATTTACTCTTTGTACTCAAGAATATCTTCAGCATACTTCTAGAGTTTCTTGCTGACTTGTATTGCAATATATATATGGAATTTAAAAGTTATACACCTTCTATAAATATAGTATGTTTTAATCATCACAAATTCATTGGTTATCCAAAAGTTATCGCAGATTACCAACTTTATATGCAAAATTTAGACAGCAAACTAAAAGAATAAAGCTTGACTTTCAAGATTGAAGCATTTTATTAATTACGATCCCTAAAATCATCAAAAGTTCTTGGTTATATTTATTTTACAAACTTCTGAGAACCACTTAAGGTATCTTTGAAGACTAAAATGTAAAAAAAGAGCTAAGCAAGTCCTACTTTATATCTACCTTACACCATTACGAACTTTTAAATCATATATCTTCCGATATCACGAATACTATACTCACTTCAATTTCCAAATAAAAATCATTTGATCACAGTGCCACTCTTCTCTGAGCTTTTTCCATAGGGAAACAATAGCGTAACCACAATAAATCGGAGGCAGACAGTAAAATCCCCAGCTTTTGGCATTGCCTGGCAACCCATGGAAGTGGGTGGGATGAGTACAGCACAGTGGGTGTGAGATATCGGCAGTGAACAGTTAATTATGACACGCACTGTTTGCTCACAGCCGCTGTTGCTATTTATTTATGCATTTTATTTAATATTCCCAGTGTCGCTGCTCATTTAAACGGGGATGCGGGGCTCTATAATCATGTCCATGTCCAGCCACCAGACAGCAAACAATATAAATGTATATCTACATATATACATATATATTTAAATACAAGACAAAAAAAACATATACAAATAGATAGAAACAAAAAAGAGAACAAATAAACAGGAAAACTAATGAAACACGAAATGTTTTTGATTGCATGTTTGCCCCCCAGTACCATTAATAGTATTTTGTTGCAAAAATATTCACTTGTAGTCGATGTTTTTTTTAGTAATAATTTTTATTTAATTTCCTTTGTTTTGTTGTTGTTTAATTAATTTTATATATAATTGCAGTGACATGAGGTGTTGTTGCTTCTTCATTAATTTTATCCCATATACATATACATATACATATATATTTAATAAATATATATATATCATACATATATATATCCTTTCGTACATATACATATACATATCGAATTTTGTTGTTCTTGTTGTTGTTGGTTGTTGTTGATGTTGATGTTCGGGGGTTGTTGTTGTTGTTTGTTTGTTTGCCTTTTGTTTAAATTTAATTAACTATAATTAATATTGCTTTTGCGTATAATTCATTTTTCAAAAAACAGCTAAACCAACAGAAAAAAAATATATATATATTTATATATAAATTCTTATGACGATGCAGGTGATGATGATGATGATGATAATGATGATGCAGGTGATGTTCATGTTGTTGTTGCATTTATTGGGTTACAAGGAAAAACAAATTGCTACTGAAATTTATTTTAATTTTAATCTTTTTTTGTCATTTTATGTTAATTTTCTTGTGTTATTTCTTCTTTTTTTAGTATTTTCTCATTAATTCTGCATGTGAGTGTGTGTGTATCAGGGTGTGCGAGTGTGTGGGTGTATGTGTGTATGTGTGTGAGGGAGAAGTCTGTTAGCTGCGTCTTTGTCGCTCTCTCTTAACTTATGCGAGGAACATGCGTTGAATTCAACTTTTCTTTTCTTTTCTTTTTTACTTTTTTTCTGTTTCTGAAATCATTTTAACTTATGCGAGAGTAAAAAAAAAAATTGATACTTTAACACTAAAAAAAATTATATTTTTTTATCCATATATATAGTATATATATATTTTTTATAATTGTTTGTATATAAACACACACAGAACTCGTCGTGCCCTAATTTTTAGCATCTCAGGGGTGTTTCTTTCTCTTTTTTAACGAGATTAAAATAAAAATACTAATAAAAAAAATATTATTTTGTTCTTTGGTTTTAGAACTTAAATATACGAAAAAAAAAAATCATAAAAATAATGGAGGAAAAGAAAAGAGTTAAATTAGGAAAACTCAAGTTCTCATAGGGGTTTTCTTTCTTTTTTTTCTAAGCATTTTCCATCACTGGTGAGGTGTGTTTTTTAGGGTATGTGTGTGTGTGTGTGTGTATGCGGTGTGTGTGTGTGTGTGTGTGGTACATGTTTGTGTGTTTTTTTTTGCTGAGTGTTTACGGTATCTTGGTACTTAAGAGCTACATAAATTATTTTAAATATATATATATATATTTATATATATTCCATATATTTCTATGCATATAGGTTTTTTATTTACGTTTACTAAAAAAAAAATGTTTCATCCACCTAAGACTAAGAAAAAAAATTGCATTTATTTTGTTTTCATTTCGTATTTGTTTTTGTTTTTGTTTCTTTTTTTTCGGTATTTTTTAATGTTTTTTTTTGTGTGTTATATATATTCTTTAATTGTTTTGTTTTTAATGTCCAGCTTTGTGGGTTCTTTCTTACTTGTTCTTTGTTTTTATTTTTTTTACTAAGGTTACATTCCAGCTTGTTTTTGTTTTTTTTATTTATATATATATATATATATATATATGTGTGTTCTAGGTTTTTTATATATATTTATAAAGAGGCGCCATCTTTGATGTTGCTATTTCCAATCGTACAATATCCATACATATACATATACATATACATATACATATATATATATATATATATATATGCGTGTGTGGGGGGAAAGGGGTTGTGTGTGTGTGTGTATGTAGATGTGTGATATATAAAGTATATATATATATGTATATATAAATTTGTGTGTGAGGGAAAGTTATCCTTAAACACTTTCCGATTTCCGAAGAAATACAAGTTTATACCGTTTGCAACTACCCCTCCTCGCTCTCTCTTTCTCTTGACTTTTCTGCCCCTGGTTAACCCCTTATTTCTCTCAGTGTAGCCTTGCTAAGGACTCCAAAGACATTTGCGGAATTCTATATAGAATTGAGAGAGGTTAGGAAAAGAAAAAAGACCATACTTTAACCGCTGTCTTTGGGCCCAGCAAAACTGATAAATATATATATAACATATATACTACAAATGTTAGGCGCTAATCCAGCTTTCTCCGGGAAAATGTCCGCCAGCTATTTACAGTCCGGGAGGGGGGGTTGGGGGTTCACTCTCAGCTTAGACGACCACCAGCACAGGTTGGTGATGGGACGCCGGCGGCGGTGGCGGGCAATGATCGATGAGGGGCTAGAGGCTGAGGCGCTGACCTTGTCCCGGTCAGACGTCAACATCCAGATCAAGATCAATTACCGAGCTACGATCCTCATCGGGATCTTGGTCGGCATCCTCCTGCTCATCGATATCCTCTTCGAGGTCGAGCTCTAACTCCAGACCACCGCCTCCTCCTCCTCCTCCGCCGCCGCCTCCATCATCACAATCGGAGCGGCCGTCCAGTAATTGTCACTGATCCGTACCGCCCGCCGTGGTGCCATGATGCGGATGCGAGTGATGCGAATGTGGATGCTGATGCTGGTGCGGATGCGGGTGCTGCTGCTGTTGCTGTTGCTGCTGTTGGTGGTGATGATGTGCCTGGGTGTGATGATGGGCCGCCTCCTCAGCCAGCTGTAGTGCCGCTGCAGCTGCTGCTGCTGCTGCGGCAGCTGCACTGCCATTATGCTGCACCTCCAGCCCATTGACCATCTTCTCCATGCTCTTCAGCTCCGAGGGGGAGTTCTGGGCTTGCGATGCGCCACGTTGCTGCTTCATCAGCGAGGGCGGCGTGGTGGGTGACATTGAAATGGGACGCGTGGGGGGCGAATGGGACGCTGGCCTAGGTCTTGGGCTAGAGCTAAGACTTCGCGGTTCCATACCCTGGGCCGGTGGTGCTCCTCCCTCGCCCGATCGATTGGCATTCGAGCCCGGTGTGACGGCATCAAAGGCCGAGCCCAGGCTACCCGGCAAACTGTACGGCGAAAAGCGATGACTCTTTAGGCCCTGAAGTGGCGAAACTGGCGTATGTCCCGCCGCTGCATAGGCATGTCCAAAGAGTGCCGGATGTTGGGCGGCCAGAGCCAGTTGGGCATTGAAAAGCAGGCCGGGATTGAGTCCAGCCGGACTCATTGCTGCCGCCGCGGCCGGATTGTGCAGCAGACCGAGATGCGGCGGCGGATAAAGGCCGTGCGGATACAGGTAAGGCAACAGGTGCGGCGACGGATGTATGGGCGGACCCACCGAGATATTCGGTGATGGATAGCTACCGCCGCCACCGCCACCGGGATTTAGGCCAGCAGCTGCTGCCGCCGCTGCTGCTGCGGCACCCACCGCCTCCTTGGGACTGCCCGTCGAGGTGGGCCGAAAGGCACCGCCGGTGCTCCCGCCGACGCTTTCCGAGCAGCTTGAATCGCTGCCATCGCGCTCCACATCGGCATCTGCCTGCAGGCGTCTCCTTAGAGCCTCCTCCGCACTGGCATTTGCCGCAGCGGCAGCGGCATGTTCACTAGCACCGGCTCCAGCTCCAGCCAGGTGATTAAACCAGGCGGCAAGTGCTATTTTTTTACCGAAGAAAAAATAAGAAAAGAAAATAGAGAGAGGTTAGTTGGATTGTGCTTTTCCCCCGGGGAGAATCCCCTCCCTTTCCAGTTGATAAACTGGAAAATCGTACTCACCCGAGTGCTGATGGGCATGCATTTGCTGTAGCGAATGGCTGAGCGGCAGGAGCGGACTCTGTGGCGGTCCAACCACATCCAACAGTTTGTCCTCATCATCCTGCTGGTTGTCCAGCAGCGCTGCATGCGGATGCAGGTGGGGCGGACGACCGGCATGGCCCAGGTGTAGCGGTGCACGGGAGCTGCTCACATGCGTCGGATTCAGTTTGTCCGAATCGGACCCTCGGTTCGACATTAGCGCCTGCCTGTAACAACAGTTGTACGAGAGGCAAAGGCCACAAATTAGAACATCCAATTGTCAGGGTTGATATAGGAGTATAAACCATATAAACATAGTATAAAAATACACTATACAAAAATATATTCTTGGATCTTGTGGAGATAATTCACACAGTTCGGGATATTAGATATTCGGGATGTCTGGGATATATTCGGTAAATGAATGATAATGCGAAATATTGTTTATAAACTTGCAGATACAAAATTTGTATCTTTTAACCAATCTTTTCATATAACTACCTATAAATTTATTTATTTATTTAACTATCTATTTATATATAGAATATTATATTTAGCTTGCTATCTATCTTTAAATCATTCCAAATTTCCATTTCTCTATATGAATTATAAACTTGCGGATATAATTAATATAACTATTAATCTTTCTATCTATTTATTTTTGAAATTATCTATATAGATATGTTATATATATTAATGTACCTATCTTTCTATATATTTTGCTATATTTCTATCTAGATAGAGAGGCAATCTTTAGGTGTATCTTAATATCTATCTATCTATCTATCCTTCCAATCTATATATATAATTTAACTAGTTTCCACAACACCTAATCAGCGGGTTTCCATTTTTCTCCCACCTCCCTTCCTCCCCACTGCCAAATCAATCAGCTTTTCCGCCGACAATTTGAACGTCAGTCGGCATTGTTGTTCGATTTGCCAACGGAATTTTCGTTGGGGATCAGGGCCAAAGCTTTGATAATATTGTTGGTAACTGAAATATCTGCTAAATGATAAACCAGCGCTGGCGGCGGGCATGCCAGCCAGTAAGCCCGGCTGCCAGTCCACATCCACATTGGGGATCCCCATCAAGCCGGTGAACCTTAATTGAAATGTAACAATGCGAGGCGGAAATGGGGCAGGAGCAAGGACGACCTAGTGTGTGTGTGTGTGTGTGTTAGTGGTGTATGTGTGTCTGCGGCTGACAATGAAATTGAAAAATAATTCAAAACACGTTAGTGTAATTTAGTGTCTGCTGGCCCGGGCACGGGTCTAACGGCCTGCATTTTCCATTTCAATTTTCCTTATTTTTCACACATCAAAGCCGGGCGCTGCCTCGCAAATTGGGCAATTTCAGCACACACACACGGGTGTTGTTGTGTGTATCATTATCACAGCAACCACACCCACAGAATACCACCCCCTTCAAAAAAAAAATAGGAGAAGAAACCACGGAAAATCCACCCATGGGCTGGCATTGCGCCAAGGGCGTCTTCTTTTACACTTAACTGTTTTTCCACCTGCCACGTTAGTGTGTGTATGGTGTGTGTGTACGGTGTGTGTGTGTGGGGGCTAATTTAATAGCAAATCAATTTGTGTTAATCCAGCCAACGTATCTGGACCCACCCACCTTAACTACAAAAGACGCCAAGACGTTCCAGGAGCGGCAGCGAACAGGACTCGGGTAAGGGAGTGGTATTTAAGGCCCAAATTTCATGGGGCGTCATTAAAAAAAGTGCAGAGTGAAGTATTGTATATACTTATTTAAGGCCTCGAGAGTTATATTCTTCTCTTTAAATAATAATAATCTACTCTACATTATTAAAATCCTAATTTCTTTATTTAAAACTTTTAAAGTACGTTTTTTTAATGGTTAAAACTTCCTAGATAATGTTATGTCTTCTCAAGACTATTTAAAGTATTTATTTTGTAATATAATTCATTCGAATTATTTTTAAATGCTCTAAAAATACATTTTTCTTATAGTCAATATTGTATTTGAAATCTTTTTCTACTTTTTAAATCCAGATAAAATTGTTTTTAATTTTAAAAATTCCTTAAACACAATTCAAAGTGTCAAGAAACTTCAAGGAATTATATTTGATCTTGTAAAACCATTTATATATTTTTTTTTTAGTTAGAAACATTTGTAAAATATTTCTAAAGACCTTAAAAATAGATTTGTATAATAATTTATATTTTATTTTTAACGTTTTGTTGAGTTCTTGGCAGGAGGACACTCCGCTCCTGGGACTCTCATGCAGTGTGCCCATAACATTTCGACCCAAAGACGTTTATCTATTGCCCTTTTGCCTCCCATTGTAAGGTCTCCCTATATTTATCTGTGTGTGTGAGTGGAACGCCCTGACAAAAAAGGGAGTTCCCTTTAATTTTTCTCCTTTTATTTCTCTTTATTTATTTTTTTGTTGTATATTTTATTTTTGGAGGGGGTGTTTCGCTGAAATTGCACTGTTTTGTGTGTGTGCTTTGTAATTTTTGAATTACGTTTGAATTTGCGGCTTAAACAGCCCACGCAACGCCCATCGCTAAAAAAAAGAGAGACCCAAAGGAGAGTCGCATCTATTGTCAACTAACGCCTAGGGAAAAAGAGAATATATATATTTGTATATTATATGTATATATATATAAAATAAAATTCCCTGGGAAGCTGACTGCAACAGGAACAACAAAAGAGCGACGTTGGCGGCGGCAAGGAGAAAAGCAAATTTCAATTGCTGCTGTTAAAACGTTTTCACTTTGGATTTCCGGTTCTCGTTGCGCCCAAGGCGGCGGCACAAAATAATAGAAATAAAAAAAAAAACTCAGGGACCAAAGGGGGTTTCCCCTGGTTTTTATAGCCTTGCAAAAAAAAGGGGTTTTCCCAACCAGAGTGAGAGAGTGTGAGTGAGTAAGTGGAGAGATGAATATCATTCCGGCGGAAGTTGCGCACTAGATTGCCACCAATTAGCATCTCTTGCTGTGAAGGATATCCCACCATCATCATCATCGTCGTCATCATCATCATTATTATTATTGCCATGGTCCTGGCATTCCCTGCTGCTAATGAAGGGGTTGCAAAACAGTTGACTAAGTCGTCACTAATTGCCCAGGATTTTTGGCAGCTCTCGTTTAGGGCAAGTTACTTGCAGGACCTCAGTATGGCGGTTATTGTAAGCGGTTTAGCGGTTTTGTTTCTATCTTTCCCTTTCATTTTTTTCTCTCTGTGCCTCCCCAATTTAATTAACAATTGGACAAAGTATAAAGTAAAGTAAAGCAAAGTAAAGTAAAGTTCCCTTTGTTGAAAAAGTTGACTGGCTGACTGGCTGACAACTGGCTGTCACATCAATGACCAGGCAAATTCTTTGATTTTTTTCCTCCTTTTTGGGGGGAGTTGGAGAAGGACCTGGCTTAGACAGACACGCTAATGCCAATCAAGCCAGAAGTAATCAGTTTGGCACAAAAACCGAAACTCGACTTGAGTAAATTGTTTGTGTCAAATGCTGTGGTGGTGGTGGTGGAAAAACCCTCAAGAGGGGCGGAAGAGGACAGGGAAAGCTAGCTAGGAAAATGCCACAGCGCAGTGAGTGAAAATTGATTTGTAACGTTTAACATGGACATGGACATGGACATGGACATGGACTAGAGTCGCTTTTCGGCTATTAAATGTCATTCATCATTATGCTAAGTCAGGGTTTTTTGAAAGGGGGACGGAAAAAAGCCGCCCAGGACACACGCACACTCGCAGGAAAGTTGAAAGTATATGGGGAATCTTGGAAAATTTAGTATTTCCTTGATAAAAATAGAGTTTATAAAATATTTTCAGGGTTTAATGCTTGGAATTTTATCCAGGAAATGGTATTTTAACTTGTTTAATTCAATAATTTATCTGTTTTTACTTTTTGCATTAATAAATATGTATTTATTTATTAATTTGTTATTATTTTTATTTAAAATACTCCCACTTTCCATATATATTCCCTTATTTTGTATTCTTTGCCTCAGTGCAAAAGTTGAATCTCTCCTGCCTCCCTGGGCGATGGTGCTGCTCTGTGGCCGGAAACCGGAACCACTTCAAAACTTGGCCATAGAGAGTGAATGATCCCTCTTTCCTCCCAGCCGTTGGCAAACAGAAAATTGGAAAATCTGTGCGCTAAAAACTCAAAGCTTTTTTCGGACCATCAGCATCATCATCATCATCAGCAGGAGCAGGAGCAGGACCTCTCGCAACAGGATGCCAAAGGGGGTTGGGTTCTTCTTCCGACAGGAAATTGAAATCAATCCATCAATATGGATTACATGTTCGAGTTAGCTGCCAGCGGAGGTGCCAGTCATCAGCATTATTTCGCCCCCCAAGAGGGGGGATTGGTTAGGTAAAAGAGAGAGGTCAAAAGCCAAAAGCATCATTAAGCTGTCCTGTCTCCCCTCGGAGTGTGTGTGTGATTGTTTTTATTCCTGGGAGAGTCTTTTGTGTGTGACTTGCAATTTGACAAGCTGCAGGCTAATTAGTTCCGCTTAGATTTGACAAAAATTAATGTCAGTATCTGTGTATCTGTGCATTTGCTATTTGTAACTGCTAATCAAGGTTGGGGGAGGGCAGGGCATCCAGGAGATATACAGACAAATGAGTGCTCTGTTTTGGTTTAGGGTTTTGATTCAGTGCAAAGTTTTGATTGTTGTATGGCCACAAAAGGACAGTTTTGTCTGTTTTCCAGCTTTTCCACTCTTACTTTGAGCTGTTCCTGCTTGTGCCCTGATTAGTTTTGGTCTTTGATGTTAATTTTCTGGGTAAACGATGTGGTTTACATAGAGACTGTCATTTCTGCTTCAAGATTCTATAAACGTTAGCTAATTTTTCTAATAAAATGCTTTACTATTTCCATAAATTCGCCTATAGAGTGTGCATTTTCTTTTCTACTTAATTATATACTATAAACTAGTGATACTCACTTCTTTTCCCGCTTGCCAGCACCAGTATCACGAAAGCCCTTTGCAAAGGGATTGTTATCGATTTTCAATTGAGTTATCTGCAATTAAATCGATTAACAGCGATTAATTACGATATAAATCTACCAAGTTTAACTATAACTCACCTTCTCATTCTGATATGCAGTCACGGCAATGAACTCCGTCTCCTTGAAGACGTACGTGCGAAACGTGGAGTACGGCAGCTTGAGGATGTCATTGGCTCGCACCAGGTGGAATCGCGGCTGGTACTTGTGCATCGAGTTCAGGATGGTCTGCGGGTTGGTAGAATAAAAATAGATGGACACGGCGTAGATTAGTGTGGGGATATTCGTTTGATATCATCATGGACGTGGCTAGTTTTCTTCTTTTTTTTTTGCAAACCAACCAAAGGGAAATGGGGACGAACAAAATCGAGGCGAGGGCATAACCAAAACACTAAACTCACTGACGAAGGTAGGAACAATTCACACACAGAGAAAAGAAATACACAGACACATCAGTGAAATATAAATAATATATTTTTTATAAAAGAAATGTTTTTTTTTTTTTTTTAATTCTTCCAAAGGTACTATAATTTGAGTCAGAAGCTTGTAATTATGTGAACATATAACTAAATATGTCTTAAATATGGGACACAACATTTCATTAAAGGTGAATTTTTCGTCTATTTAGGAAGATTTTTCATTAACAAACGCCTTTAAGGCTATTTGATCATTTAAAACAAAGACAATTTGTTTATAAATGGAAAAGTAATTTTACTTGAATTATAAACAACATTTAGTTTAGTTTAGGGTAAGTAACTATGTACAGTAGTGACTTTTGGAATTGCACACACACACACACACACATCACATAACTAAGAGTTGGCCAGCAGTTAGTAGCCGTCACTTCGTTCCGGGGATGTTAGAACCAGTTGGGAATCATATGTGCACATGCGCGATATTTAGATTCAGAAGCTTGTAACTCTGTTGGGAGTGATTTCCGACCCTATAAGCCATATATATTCTTGATCAGCATCTACAGCCGTATCGATCTAGACATTTCAGACAAAAAAAATTTTTTTTTTTTAATTGCAAAACTTTTTAATTTTTTTTCATTAAAAATGTTTTAAAAATTGAAAAAAATTAAAATTTTCTTAAATTATAAACTAAGTATGCAGATTTATAAACCTATTAAAAACTAAGATAGAACAACTTTCCGAATTAAAATTAATGCATTTTTGGCTTAGTTAGGAGTTTTTAAAAATGCGATTTCCCGATAAAATTGTGATATAAAAATATCTATAAATATCGATTCAAAATATGTGAATATTGTAAGCTTAGTTATGGATTGATTTCCGATTCTTTCCTATAATCAAAAACAAACTTTTACTCCCCTAAATGGATGCTGAAGAAGATCTCTTTCTGAAAACTAAAACTAAAACTATAAAACTTCAGGATCAAGTCTACAAAAACCTTATCTAAATTGTCATTTAAACCTATATAAAATCAGAATTAATTCATGCAGGAGGTATCTCTTTTCTCTGAGTGCATTTTCTTGGCTAAAAGAACCCAAAAAAAAAAGAAGAAATACGGCGACAATGCCATCGCCTTGCCGCTCACTTGCACGCTAGAGCAACATTGGCAACAACGGCGACATTGGCAACAGGCAACATTGCAGTCGAACGACCACCCACCAAAAGGCACGAGAACGAGCAGGAGCAGGAGCAGGAGCTACAGGAGGAGCAGGAGCAGGAGCTACAGGAGGAGCAAGCACCGACAATACAAAGTTGTTGTCATAAAATATGAATCTGTCTGCGCGGCAGTTTTTTGCCGGCTGAGACAGCGAGACCTCCCAAGGCAAGGCCCTCGTGTGTGTGTATATATCTCTCTCTATAAATATATGTATGGCCCAATCCATTTCGATCCGTTTCGATCCGCCGCTGTTGCAGAAAGGAACACCTTTTTAATTACCATAACTCGTCGGCTTGACTTGACTTCGATTAAGCGACAAACGAGCAGGCCTAGAAGAGGCCCAGAGACTGGAGACCCGAGACAAGTTGCTCGATTGCCGCGTGTGTGTGTGTAGAAAAAGACCCCACAAGCAGCGGCAAAGCGCCATTTTGTTCATGTAATTTGGAATAAAAAAAAAAGCGATACAAAAACTACAAGATATACAAAAAAAAGAAAAACCTCTGAAATAAAGCAAAGGAAACAAAAATAAAAAACAACCGAGTTAAAACAACACGAAGGAACACAGCAAGACAAAGAGAGCGAATGCGAGCGAACAAAGCGAGACAGCCCCCAATGTGTATCTCGTAGTACGAGTATCTGGTATCTTGTATCTGCGTTGGATTCGCACGCCTCTCGGCTCAGCCTCAGCCTCAGCCAGAGCTTCATCAAACCCCCACCAACAAGAGACCACAACACCAAGCAGCCAACACCAGACCACCAATGGCGACGACTCGCTCCGCGGAAGGTGTGACTAATGCGAGTGCTCTCGGTGTGTGAATGTTAAGTTTGGGGTTTGGGGTTGAGTATGAAGTTGGAGTTGGAGTTGGAATTAAGGTTGGGATTCTCCTCCTTGATAAACCTAATGAAATACTTAATTAAACCTTATAAATACACATTCATTGCAATACAAGGTAAACTTTAAAAGGTTTTTAACAAACATTATGAACTTTATCCTACGGTTATTCCCATAAATTGATCAAATCATATATAAATAAGAATATTTGAAAGGAAAATTCAAGCTTTTGTATAGGTTAAATCAGAGAAATGTTATATATATATTTATATTCTATAAATATCATAGTATAAACCATAGAATGAAATATAAATTGCTGCTGCTGCTCCTCTTGCTCCTGGCTCTTCTTGCTGCTCCTACTACACCTGTTCCTATTCCTGCTACTCCTCCACTTTATTCCAAACTCCGCAATAAACAAAAAACTCCATTCAATTGAACACTTTGCCAGGCACAAAAGCCGAAAGCCCCAAACAAAATACGCAAAATGCTCAACAAAAGACCTGATTAATTGCCCCACCATTTTTTGAGCTAAACGCTAGCAGAAATTCCACACCGAAAAACCCAGGGGTTAAAGCCATAAAGCCATGATTATCAGCCATCAAATTTGAGCCTCAAAAAAATACAAAACCATATATACGATATAAGGAGCCCCCTTTGAGTCCATAAATCGTACAACGCCTTGCGTCTACTTAAAACGTCATTTGCTAATTTGCTTTAAATTTATTGACACATAAATTCATTTTGCAAAGCACGGCAACGACAATCATCATAATTACCCAAAGAGTGCACTATGTGTGTGTGTGTGTTTGTGTCTAGAATTTATTGATAAAACAATTTGCATTATTACGTTAATTTTTCATTGCTCTGCCATGCATGGTGCGCGCACAACACAAGGCGCAAAATTGTCATTTAAAATGTCATTGTGACGGCTAGTTGGGGATTTGAATTGCGATTTAAATGAAAATAACCGTGAAGATAGCCATAAAAAAATATATATAGAAGCATGCAATATTGGTGCCTTTGTGTACAAGTGAGTGTGCCTCTCTCCTGCAGCCAAGCCAGCATTTTCCATTTTCCAAATGGGCATAAACAAGTCTAATTAGACATGAAGTGCGATTACACGGACGCCACGCAGTCGTCGCTTGTCGTCGCCAGTTGTCGTCACTCAAACAGGCAGCAACCAGATTGCATGTTGCTGCTGTTGCTGCTGCTGCTGTTGCTGCTGCTGCTGTTGCTGTTGCTAGTGCTGCTGTTGCTGTCGTGATTGTATTTGCTGATTGAATTGATTGGCGAACAAAACCTCTTGGCAATTATGCATCGAAATATTGCCTAGATTTTTAGCACATATGATTGCGCATTGCAGCACGTAGCAATTGCTGTTGCAGCAGTAGCACCAGCAGCACCAGCAGCAGCAGCAGCAGCAACACTAGCTAGCCAGGTAACAAGTTGGCCAGCCAAGCATATTGACAAAGTACCAAGGTACAATCCAATCCATGGAGCAGTTAATCACTCTATATATCGCCCGGGTGACAACTGATTGAGCCGCCGGCGGTCGGTCAATACCAAAAATGGTGCGACAATTTCATGTTGCCTTTGGTGGCTTTTCTGCACTCCAGTCAGTGTTGCCTCCTCAGCAGGAGTTGGCAAAGGTAACACGTTTGCTTTTTGGCTTTTGCGTGTTGATTGCTAAAAGGTAAAAATCTCTGTTGTCTGTTGCTGCTGTTCCTGCTGCTGTTGTTACTGCTGTTGCACACTCATTGTTGGCATATTATCACATAATTTAACTGATGATGGCACTGTCGCCCCGTTGCCTTGTTTAGCCACGGAAGAGCCTTGTCAGGTTTGCTGTTCGTTGGCGTGCTGGGTTAATTGAATGATCACTCACACTTTGATTCGATTTTGGCATGGAATCAGGCAAGTTAACGGTGAGATCGTCAGTTAGATTGAATTGACTTCGAACTCAACTTCAACTCCAACTGTAGGCAACTTAAATCGAAAAGTCTGTGGAAAGTTCAGTCACAAGGTGATCGTGAGTGAATGTCAGTTGGTTTCTTAATCGTGTGAAGATATCTTAAGCGTAAGGAAAGCCAAGCAAATCGGGGGATACTTGGAAGAATGCTAGTTTGTACTGTTTGAAAACAAGTTAATATAATATATATTAACCTATCGATACAATTAGGAGCACAAAGCTATAGATAATGTCATTTAATGATTATTTTAGCACAAAACAAAGACAAAGATCGTGTTAAGAAGATCGATGCCAAATTGAAATTGTCAGCAAACTGATGATCAACAAAATGGGTTTTTTTGGCTGACTGGATTGATCACTTGATCGCTTGATTGCTTGATCGCTGGACCGCCTGAACCGCCTGATCAGTTCAGTACTCAATTGAAACCGATCGAGAGTTCTAAAGGCACCGCAACACAAACTGACAATGATAAACTCCGATCAGCTTCGGCTTCGATCATCTCCGGACTCAATTAGGCGATAGCCGCTTGGGCAATAGCCATTTTCGGGGGCTACCTGTTGACCAATTATGGTCATAATTGAAGCGCCGATGCCGCGCCACGATGACTAAGCCCCAAGTCTGAGTCCAAGTTTTATTAAGCTGTATTAAGTATTTAAGCGATATGCATATTGACCGATCTATACCATAAATATCAACACGAAACTCTGATCGCAGTCGCAGTGGCCATGTCTTAATTAAGCCAACGGATCAGGTAGACAAAAAGCACAAGGAAAAGGGGGACTAAGGGGACATAGTAG